GGCAGGGAGGATTCTGTAAGCATCTGTGCACTAGGTTACCACCTTTGAAATGCAAAAAAACCACCCACCCCACAAGGCAAGTTGGCCACAACCCTGATCCCCCCCCCCTTAATCAGCCACTTCTAGTATCTAGAGAAAGAACCCCTATAGATAAGATTGGTAACATCACTGATAACAAACCAGTGTTTGGTTTATCAGCACATTTTGCCAGCCAGTCTTTGTAGTCTGTTTCCTTTCACCAGTTGTCCTTGAATGTGAAGTTTCTGACGTGAGCTTTTTTTTCTGGAGGTGTAGTAGGATCACTTGCACCATCGCCCTGATCTCATGTGTCTCCTCCCTCTCGCGGGACTCAAGCCCTCTTTCACACTCGCACGGCGCGCTTGCGTATTGGTGGGCGGACAGCTGATGTATTTTCGACGGTTTTGATCTGTTGTTGCTTAAACTGCAGAAGTGGGAACACTGCAGCATCTTTAGCTGGGCACAGAAACTTTTACCATTCGATATCCCAGTGTAGTGTGAGAATAATGCAAATCTTTAGACCCAGGTAAAAAAACCTGCAGATTACATATTTTTCCAGCAACTGGAAAATCCATAAAAAAAAAATGGGCCAGGCCGGTCAAATACCAGCCGGGTGGTAACCCCACTGTGCACACATTAGGCTTATTGACGACTTGTGTCATGGTAGCATCTAGAGCCCCCGGCCAGCCCCACTGTGCTAGGCACTGCACAAGCTTGTAGCAAAAAGACCGCCCCTGCCTTCGGGCGACTACAATCCACCCCTGCAGCAGTGTCAGCAGCCCTCATGGTGTACCTGCAGCGTGAGAAACATTGCTCCAAACACCGGCCTCCTGCCCAGGGGACTGCGGTGCTGGAGTGGTCAGGGGGAAAAGGGGTGACATTTTCTTTCCAGGCCTCAGCCATTAAAGGGGTGACGTTGCGACAAATCCATGCCAGCCCTGGAGCTGGCTTCGTTCTCTCCAGCAGAGATCAGTGTGCTCAGCCACACGCCCAGCGCAGCTGTGAATCCCGGGAACGAGAGCACGTTGCTAGTTCAGGCACCTGCATTTTTATTGCTGTCCCTCTTTCTGAAAGTCCTTCCCTTTCTTGGTCCCAATGCCTGGTGAAATGGGCATTTCCAAGAGGACCATGCCTGCAGCACACTCGACAGGTAGCAGGACCGAATCACCTTCCAGAAGAGTAAGATCCTAACCTAGGGTTCTGTAGGAATTCCATAAAGCAACCAGATATCAGCCTGCTCCCTAGAAAAACGCTGACATTATTTTGCTTCCATTGCTCAGATCTACGCCTGCTGACCCCCTACTTACATGCCATTGTAGTTATGAAATGTGGTTTTCTTATTAAACTAACCCCCCATCCATGTTACCCCTATTCACCCAAACTGTCTTTTAGTTGGATTCTTCCTACTTAATCCTTTAGCACCAGGAGCTGGGTATTTCCCTCTCCCGGACCTTCGTCCATAGCCAGAAACTAAACCCAGCAGACCCTAACTCCCAGTCAGCTAAAGATGCCATTTTGCTGGGTTGGACAAGTAGGAAGTATTCTGGTCTCTCTTAAAAGCTCAAATATTATCCCACAGTTGATTTTGTTTCTCTGCATCCCGGGCTTTGCAGCAACTCCAGCTCATTTACATGTGTATTGCACCGGCCTCCACGGGTGCTGAGGTCAATTGAAACTCAAGAAAAGAGGAGAAATTTATGCAAAACTGTTGATTGCATTTGTATGTAATGAAATCATCCAATATTCATCTGACTATAGACTCTAATCTGAAAGGAGAACTGAAGGACATAAGAGTCACTGGAAAGCAGTAATGAGCTTCTGTAGTGATTAAAAAAGCACTTGAGCTTTCTGAAAATCCAGCCAGAAATCGTGTCTAATCAACACTGAATATAGGTGGCAGAGATTACACTGATACATTTTGCAAAGCTCACTGTCGAAAATGTATGCAAGTTGTAAACTCTGACATGCCATCCATGTTCTGTTTGATACAAATCCAGGAAGCACACAATCAGAGCCCAGGCTCGTCCTCGGTGCGAAGCAATCTTGGTGGCTCTGCTCGATGACTCATAAGGAGCGCAATCACATCTATTTTGAAGAGCAGTGTTGGTTTTTAACTATGTTGAGAGCTTGCAGATTCCTCAGAGTTTTTCCTTCCTTTTGTTTCCAGTTTGCATTTTGTCTCCACGGTGGGTTTTTCTTTTAAAAGGGGGTTGGAATTTCCCCTGGTCCTCGCTCCAAAACCCATGGCTGTCCTCCCGCCACAATTACAAATTCACTAGATCTAACCAAGGGATTCTCAGTAAGCAAGACCGCCGATGTCCCTCTGTGGGGTGAAAACCCCTCAAGCATGGACACAACATGAGGCCTCTGCGTCACTCGTCTGTCCCACCTCAGTCCTCGTTCTCGTCTGAGGCATTTCTGTCCCGGTCTAGTGACGGTCTTATATTGCACACGTCACTGAGCTACACGAGCCCCCAGGCCTCATGCTGGCCCTCTGCAGAGGGGTGAATTTTACCTTTAGTCTTTTTTTTTTAACTCAACCTGGGAGGGACCTTTCCCATTCATTTAAAATCAATGCCCTGGCTTTCCTTTCCGCGGCCAAGCAAAGCCGGAGCAGGTACCATCTCGCAGTGCTGTGGAGCAGACGCAGCAGCCTCTGCACAATGGCCTTCGAGTGATCTCGGAGCTGTTTCTGGTGGAGCCCAATATAGGTGCTTTCCAAGCAGAAAGGAAGGCACAGACCTTGCCTCCGAGTTTACACCCTAAACGTCAGACAGGCAGGTAAGGGAAAGGGCTCAGACACGTAAGTGGCCAGGATGGGAACACAACAAAATAGGGTTTGAATAGTGCAGTGTTGGGCTGTTGGAGATGTTGGGTTTGCTAAGATAAAGAGGCAGCTCCTTTCCTCTTTTACATGCTATTTTCTACTGCGATCTCATAGCTAGCTGGCTGCCCACTGTCATTTGCAACTAAATCACAAATCAGACCCGGGGGGACAGCCATGGCAGCCCAATGCAGTCAATGGTGTCGTTCTCTTACACTCAGTCTGTTTGGCCCTACGACTCTCATGGCATTGCTGATTTCCCAGTACTCCTAGCGTGGCTGGGATGATCTTTTCCCAACGTTTATCTGCTGGCATTTGCATGTGCTCAGTTGCCTTTTGTTATTGCCTGACTGGGGGTGAAATCCTGGCTCCAGGGAAGTCCATGGGAGATTTTCCATTAACGTTAATGGGGCCAGGATTCCCCCCTGTCTTTCCAACACCCTCTATTATTTCTGTCTTTGCTGCTACTTGCAGCACCTCACTAAGAGCCTAATCCTGAGGAGGAACTGTGGGGGACCAGACTTGGTATTGCTCTGTGCCTTGTGCAGTAATTCCCATAGAAATGGGCACAAAATGCTGCCATACCACAAGGGTAGCGTCTCATGTTCACTTTGCACTTTGCATGCAGGGCCATGGAGGATCTGACTGTACTCTCCATTCTCCCCTGGAGTTACTCCAGATTTATACCCAGGAAAGGGGAAAGCAGATTCAGCCCAACTGAGGCCCTCACAACGTTGCCCAAATTCCATATTGCAGCGCGTGTAATTAATTTGCTCTTTATTGCCTCTGCCACATGATTACTATGGTTCTGAAAACCAGCCAGAACAGTGATTTCTGTTGCACCTCCAAGGCCTTCTCTTCACAAGTCGACCTCTGAACATTTCCACTCGTTTACCCCCTCCAGCCAGTTCTCCACACCAGTGCCTGTGCGAATCCAGGTTTCCAGGGCTGCTTGCGAAGTGCTGCGTCAGAGGCTTTCCTGCAGTCCGAAGGGGTGACACCAACTGGCGTTCCGCGTTGGCTGCGTGAACGGAAGGGTGATCCACATTGCCTGCCATGATGTGTTCCTTCTAGGTCCACGTTGTTCACACTTGTCCTGCTGTTACCATTCTGCTGGGCACGAATTGCAGTGACCACAAGGGAGTTACATGGGGAGAATTCAAGCAGATTTTAGCGCTCAGTGCTTATCTGTTTCTTCTTACTACTGGTGCCATTCTTTTACGAAGGGCTGGCTACCCTAACTTGCATAGCCATTGCTCTTTTTTCCCTGTTTTTAAAGACTGGCCTCCACATCTGCTTTCCCCTCCCTTCGCGCCCCCTCCCCAATCTCTGGCACCACCCTGCTTTGCCATGATCTGAAAATAACTGCCTGCGGCTTAGTAAATTCATTAGCGGACTGACTCTGCCTAAACCTCCGGTTTGATGGAAGAGAATCCATCCAGCGGAGGTTGGACATGTCTGCGTCCTTGCTGATGGAACCAATTTCCTCTATTCTTGGCCAGAGGCCGGCAGCCTTCAGGACCCACCGTAAGGTGCACAGGCTCAGGGATTCACTCTTCAAGTGGCTCAAGATGCACTGGCCATTGCACGAACCATGCCCAGCCTGTCTGGTATTGTTTGGTGTCATGGGTTTAGTTAATGAGGTGGCGCTAGATGCTATGGTAATGGCAGCTGTAAATTTACAGCTGTAAATGTTCCAGGGAATTTCTCCACCTAATGCTCCCAGAAACAACAGGCAGTGTCTGGAGCTCCATCAATGGCCTCGGGAGGTCTGTGGGGGGCAGCAGCAGGAGCCCACGACTGACCCCACAATGCCTTTCTCTCCCCACAGGTTTCCTCTAAGCATGGCAGTAGATGAGGCGTGCACAGCCAGCCCTGGAGTAGGTGAGAGTCGTTCGAATGTCAGGCCAGGTTCGATGGTGCTGCAATTAGTGCAAGTGCTTCTGAACTCTCATGTCTGCTCCACATAAAGATGGATCTAAGAGCGCGGGCATCGTTCCCCACAGTCACCTCTATGCAGGTACGAGGGGAGCTCTTCTGGTGGTGCAGCCCAGCAGCCTTGACGACGGGCAAAAAAAAAACCCCCAAAAACTATTTGATAAATGTCAAAAGAAATAAAGTAATCAGCTGAAAGCAATTTGCTGAGCCGTGTAACCGCCTTGGGCTTACCATTTTCCTTTATTCATTTATCATGATAGACGCTTTCGGCCAAAATACACAAAGCAGAGAAATTGTTGACATGTGGGGCCCAAGTATAGAAAATCTTTCATTCCCGCCCCCGCCCCCTGCTCTGTGCACAAAATAACTTTCTTTTTTTTTTTTTTTTTGGTTGTTTATTTAAAGACTACAGAGAACTCGGCGCTGCTTAGAACCGAATGGCCTTTGGAGCAGGGTTACTCCCCAATTCATCATTTCCTCTGTTTATGAAGATAAACTGTGTTCTTGGGACGTACCTGCCGATAGTGAGGGGCAGGAAGCTGCTACAAAGCATCCAGCACTTAGAGCAAGTTCTGCTCCCCCGGTGCCCCAAACCGTGCACATGATTCCCATTGGAAACTGAGATCCTGCAGTCGGGGAGAGGGTGGGGGGGGGCGGAATGTGGCTTTCAGGAGGCGTCTAGCGCTGTGCTTTCGAGTTCTCGTTAGGTGAGTTTAGTGCTGGCCAAAGCTGCTGGATTGACAGCTCGGGAGTTTCAAATCTTCTCTGTATCCATGAAACCGCTACAGCCTGGGCAACAGAAATACCATCCTCCCTGCCCCACCCCTCCCAGCGTGGCTCTCTCTACGCCTGAACGGGTACAGAGTCATCCAGTCTCCTTGGCCTCTCTGCTAAGGGTGCCAACAAACATGAGGCTCACCGCGCTGTTCCCCCCGCAACCTGCACCTGATATGCACACTGGTCCACTGCGGACTGGCCTGAGCCCATCAATGTGCCTCACGCAAGCCATTGAGCGTTGTGGCTTTGCTAGACGTAACCGCAGCCTCATTCGGCCACTAGGAGATTTGGGCTGCCCTGCCAGGTGTGCTGCAACCCGTCTGACACACCGTGCTGGGAGCCTTTGCGTGAACAGGGGCCAGGCTGCAGGCGAGCGGTACGTAAACTCTCCTGCAAAGGGAAGGGGATGGAGTGACAGGGAACTGCCTGGTCTGTTTTTTAACATCTCTGTTTGATTTTATTTTAGCTGAAAACAAATGACCTGGTTCACAGCAGGGCAATGAACATGTGAGTTTCCCTTGATCGCTTCCCTTTCTTCCCCCAGCATTATGGTTAGGGGTAGCTGGAACCCAAAGGAGCCTGGGAAGGCTCTAGGCAGAGCCTTCAGAATTGAGAGGTACACGGGGCCTTCTCTGAAAGGAGGATCCTGCGAGACCAACCTTCTGCTCAGTGTGGCTGGACTCTAGCTAGTGAAAGCCCTGTTTTTTTGAGCACTCCTGTTCCATTGGGACAAATCTATGCAGTGCCCTTGTCCAATGCATGAGTTTCAGCCAAGCCGCCTGGGGGAGACACCTGCAGAATGGCCGGGTGGCCCTGCTTGCTGCTATTGACTTGAAGGCCCTGTCTATACCTGGTTAGCAACACTGATATAGTTACACCAGAGAAACTGACCCTAGTGTAGACAGGCCCTAAGTGGGAATTTCATGGCAGGAAGTGTAAGAAAGAGATCTGCAAAGGGGACAAACATTCACTAATCTGAGCACCCCACCGCTCAGTGCTTTAATGCCATTGGCAGGGAGAGGCTGCTGCCATGGTGAAGGTTGACAACTAAGAGCCATTCCTCAGTTCCTCTTAACCTTATTTTATCCAAATTCAGTTGTCATTGCTTGAATCGATGAAATACAGACTAGATTCCCCCACCCCCAACACTCATCATGGGCCAATTCCCTGAGTAATCACAGCATAACTCTACTCGTGAGGTAGGACCCAGTCCACCCTGCCAGTCACACTAAGCAGCTACGGCCAAGCATGGAACATTTGGTCTGCGGTTGTCTGCAGTCCATAGTCACTGCTGACTGTGTGTCTGTCCAAGCTGCACTCAGCCGAGGAGCTCCTTGGTCTTCCCTGCCAGGAGCCTGTCCATCTCTGCTGCAGTGTCGTCTGCCATTTGCTGGATCTGTAGCAACATAACAAGTTAGATCCCTGTAAAGATGGGACACAGGCAATTCCTAACGCAAAGCCCAAGCTCCAAAGCAACCCCGCAGGCAAAATTCTGTTCTCAGTGTAAATCTGAAGTCAGTGGAATGTTCTTGTTCTTGGAGTAACTGAGCCGGGAAGCCAACTGACTGTGTGTGGAAGATCGGAAATACATTTCACAAGCTGTCAAAACCCCTGACAGATGCATGTTCCCACCAACACAGGAACAGGTGCACGAGGAAGGGTCCGAGCACGCGTGTCTCGGAAATAGGCTCTCCTGATTTCTAATCCTAGCTCTGACACTATTTCCTGCTGCAGCCTTGGGCAAGTCACTTCTCTGTGCCTCCATTTCCCCAGCTGTAAAATGACGGTATGTCCAGTGACCTGTGTGACTCCTCCATCAGCATCCAGTTCTCCCTTAGCCAGATCCCGTCAGTGGCTGAATCTCCCACACCCACACCCACGCAGCATTTAACCTACTCTCCGTACAATCCATTCCGGTCTCTGAACGGCTCCTAGTGAAAAGCTCTTGGCTGAGACTGACCAGTTGCTCTGCCAAGTCCTTATTTAATAGACCTAACGTGGTGGGACAGACTGCCGGTGAAACCGGAGGCCACCAGATGTCAGAGCCAGAATGTAAAGGACTCGTCTCCTTACTCGCCGTAGTCTTCCTGCTGTTGTAATGAATTGTGCAGCAGCAGCCACAGTCTGCTAGTGGAAGCTTTTGTTTTTATTTGCAGATCAAGTACCAGACAGATTTACTCCCCTCTGTCATGGGGAACACAGCACTATTCCAAAAGCCCAGCCTGGTGCTCCAGGATCATGGTAATAAGAACGGAGACAGGCCAAAATTTCAAAGGAACCTCCTAAATTGTGCTGGCCAGAGTTGTGCATGCACCTATTTGGGTGCAAAGCCATGTGTAAGTGTGCGATGGGAATTTGCATGTGCAATACAGGTAGAGATGATTGTTGGGCATATACCATCGCTATTTGTGTGCAAATTTAGGGTCTGCATGCTCCAATCTTACAGGGCCTATTTAGAAGGGTCTAGTATCAATGTGGTCCCCAGTTTTTAAGGATCCCAGGTACGTGGGAGGTGAACTTGCCTTATGTTGAAAATCCCTGGCACAAGCAAAATCTGAGCTGAGACACTACCAGGGCCGGCTCCAGGGTTTTGGCCACCCCAAGCAGCCAAAAAAAAAAAAAAAAAAGCTGCGATCGCTATCTGCGGCGGCAATTCGGCGGGAGGTCCTTCGCTCCGAGCGGGAGTGAGGGACCGTCTGCCGAATCGCCGCCGAATAGCTGGACGTGCCGCCCCTCTCCGGAGCGGCCACCCCAAGCACCTGCTTGCCAGGCTGGTGCCTGGAGCCGGCCCTGGACACTACCCCACAAATACAAGAAGCCACCTGACTGCTCTGGAAGAACTGGGGTTTGTTTATAACATGCTACCTCTTTTTGCTTGCACAAACTTTTATGCCAGGAAGTGTTTATCAAAGGTGTCCACAGCACCAGCTTTTGGGCACACGGACACATTCAAAAGATAATTCCTGTTTAACCCCAAAGCATCCCCTCCACCGCAAGAGCTAATGCTACTATGGCTTTGTCTACCCCAGGAGCTAGAGACGGGATTCACGTGCTCTCACTAGCTCTCATGGAACCAGTGCGGATAGAGATAGCAGAGCAAATGCAGTAGCACAGCGGAGCTCTGTCACGTACAATTCCCCGTGGCTTAGCCGTGCCTCCAGCACCATGGCCTGTGTCCCCACGACGGCACTGCTGTTTATTCTCGCGCTGGCCCAAGCAGGGAAATCACACCCCTCGCTCACAGTGTAGACGTAGCTAAAGTTAATGTCTACCAGCAGCGAGCATGCAAAGGAGTGCTCTCTGCTATATTCCTAGTGCTTACTGCTAACAAACGAGGCCTTAATTCAGCAGGGTACTTAGGCATGTGCCTAATCTTAAGCATGAGTAACTGACTTCAGTGAGACTGCCCATATGCTTAAAGTTAGGCATATGCTTGAGTATCTTGGTGAATCTAGCCACAAAGCCATAGCAGAGTTCAAGGTTACTAACATTTGATTAGTGTTCATTTCATTGTAGTCAATGGAGCAATGTCGACTCCCACCAGCTGAGGATCTGGCCCTATGTGCTTTGCAAAGTCCATGTGCTCTTCTGGCATTGCATAAATGACGATGATAAAACTGCCCCTGAAGAGTCAAGCAGCAGGGTTGGACTCTGGCCATCCTGCTGCAATAGGCTTGGCAGGCTACTGAAGGTTTGTGGGGACCTTTACTACCCCCTCCCCCTTCAATTTGCACGGGTTCATGCCCCAAAGTTGACTCTGAGTTTCAGGTTTGAACAAATCCAAAATCACTCCACAGAAGGCAGAGGGAGCAGCAGTTATGACTTGTTAAAAAAAAAACACAAAAAAAGGGCCATGCCCACCCCAGCCCCAGGCTCCCCTCAAACCCAGCTCCTAACAAGGGTTTCCTGAAATCTGCGTTTTTGTTACCAAAGTCTGGCACAGCTGGATCTTTCGCATGGGCCAGGGCCGTCAGGGAGGTCAGGAAACACACCCAACGCACTCCTGGGGAGAAAAAATACCTGCTTTTCTACCAGCTTAATGGTGTCTTCAGACACTGTGCTCTTGGCCTTCTTCACGTGGTTCACAGCGTTACTCCGGACCTTTCGCAAGGAGTCCTTAGCCTTGTTCGTAAGCTGTTTGGCGAGTTTGGCCAGGCTTTCACGGTGTTCTCTTGTTACCCTAATCAGGGAGAAGTAAAGGGCGTTAGGGGTAGCATGGACCTGAGCTGTTCCTTGTGATGTTATGCATGTGCAGGATAAACCAGCAAACTGAGGAAGTACAATCCACTGATCCTGTCCACGCTGGCCTCTTTCAAACAGTTCCTCCAGGGTCTGGGACCGACGCCTTTCAAACTAAGTCATGTAAGTCTCAGGGCTGGAGTGGAAGGCAACAAGCATGGCAGTAGCTTAGGGATTTGGATCAGATCTTATTACGTTTATGGTTTTCTGTGCAGTGCCTGAAAACCATGCTGAAATGTTTAGGCTTTTCTTTTTTGTGCTGCCAAGGCATCTGCAAGCGTGAAGAGGGAATATCAACCTCAAAACTTGAGACGCTGAGCTGAAAAGTGTGATCCTGCTGTAAAGCTGTGAAGGGGCAGGAGGAAACCCCCTCGCCTCTCCTTGCAACTGCAATAGTCTGAAAAATAGATCTGGGAGCTATACAGCTTACAGGGTGAATCTCTTTATTCACCCGTTTTCCAGTCATCACTAGCATGCGGGAACCAGACTGGTATTTCCACTGTATTTAACATGCTGTTTGAGAAGAGACCAATACTGCAAAATTTTCTAAAATAATGATTTCAATTTATTTGTATCCAACTCTAGCAGACTGAGATTTCAAACTCAGCTCCTCACAGTGGGTCAGGCGCTGCAGTCAAACACAGGGAAAACTCCCATGATTCCCCGGTCGCTTCACTTTCTAGATCAGAAAGGAGAGGCATGTAGGTTCCTGAGCATAAGAATGGGGCATTGGAGCTGCAGAGACGCTGCCACCCTCAGAGGCCCTGGTCAAGTCATTTAATCTCTCGATGCCTCACTCTCCTGGTGTGGAAAACGGGGCTCTGACAGCACCTATTGTGAGGATTCATTATTTAGCTAATGTTTTCCAAGTGCCTTGAAGATTAAAAGCCTGTTGCAAGCGCTACATATCATTAGCAAGAGAATGCCTGTCTGCTACGGGGAGATACTGCAGAATAAACATTTCACAGGAGTACTTAGAAATTGACTGCAATAGGCTAGGTCACTGCAACATTAAAGACAAGGCTCTTCCTGCACGGAAATCAGGAAATGGGGAGTTAGGGTTCCCACAGCAATGTTAGCTCTGCCTCTTTGCGGGTATTAATTACAAAGAGTCTTTCATTACCCGGCAGTTTCTGAACCCTTTCCTAGCTTGCTCCCTGTCTGATAAGTCACATTCCCTTTGATTTCTTCGCTCAGCAGCCGAGTTGCTCAAGGCAGATGTTTGAGAGGCCCTGACCAATCACAGGCTCATTCATTTATTTCTACCCCAGGTTGGCAGGAGGGAATAAGGACTTTCCAGAGCTGATTATTAAATTATTATTAGGAATGAATTTAGTGTCTGTAAAAAGTGCAGGATTTGACAGACCCAGAGACCATAGTCCAGGACCAGATCCAGTGCAGACAGTGGCAGTGCTAGCGTCATGACCGCACTGCCCTGTGAACGTGCTGCAGCTGTGGTCTGGAGGCAGGCGTTTTGTCTCCTTAGCCCTTTGTCTCCTCTGCTGAGCTGTGTCCACGGGAAGGGTGACTGTGGCCATAAGTCTAGTGATGGAGATGCCTGGATGGTGACCAGTTTATTTCACACAGGGAAAACATCTGTCATCTTAGACCTGAGCCTGCATTTGAGCCATTGACCTAGGAGTGAGGAACTATGAATCAGAACACCAATCCTTTCAGGGCTTCTCTTCTGAACATTATGAACCAGAAGTCTTGTGGCCTGTGAAAACAGCCACATACCAAAACAGCACAGTCTGTTCATAAGAACAGCCATACGGGGCTGATCAATGGTCCATCTAGCCCAGGACTGTGTCTTCCAACAGTGGCCAATGCCAGGAGCTTCAGACAAGTAATCCATCCTCTGTTGTCCTGTCCCATCTTCTTACCCTTGGAGGTTTAGGGACACCCAGAGTCTGGGGTTGCATTCCTGACCATCTTGGCTAATAGCCTTTGATGGACCTCGCCTCCATGAATTTATCTAGTGATACGGTTCAGAAATAGGGGTAAATGAGGTCAGATTCCCAGACAGCGTTTTCAGGGGAGCATCTCTGGGCATTGGAAATCTCTACATTACTCTTTTCACTTACTTCCCTGCTCGGCAGAGGGTGTGTTGGTCTGTGGCTAGAGCTCCCCACGTGTGGTAGATCCAGTTTGCTATTTGCTGCTCACCTCCCCACACGTGTGAATGTTTTGTGGATCGTGCCGAGGGTATCACTCGGCTGCTCAGGGCTGCTGAACCTTTAAGGAAATGTTTGTTTATGCAGTGCTGCCAGATTTCCTATGCTTCTTGGCACAAGGTCACACATCTCCTTGTCTGTCTTTATTAATGCCCATTTCTGTTTATCAATGCATAGTGACATAGAGCTTTCTTTGGGGGTTTTACATTCCACTGAGATTATATGTAGATTCTGAGCTCCTACCACCAATAATGCTACAAAAATATCTATTTCTTTCAGGCAGCTGCAGCTCCTGCTAAGGAATCCATCAATGCGAGGCTGCTGGTTTTAAAGGCCATCCATCCCCTTGAACGTGGCGATTCTGGCACCAGCTCTGCTAACCTCACCGTTGATCTGGGCACATTTTGTTTTGGACGTAGGAACTGTTGTCCCTGTCTCCTCTTTAAAGCAAAGTGCTGCAGGGGAAGCCTGAGGTGTCTAATCAGAAGTGGGGAAAAGGGTCAAGGTGCCTGCGCCTTTTCCATCTCCCTTTCACACCAGCCCACAGAACCGGCTCTGTGCTGGGGTGTGGACACTCCCCACCTTGAACTCCAGGAGGCTCCTGCTGGGGTGGTGCCGCTTCACATCACCCCCAACATGGAGCTGCGAGCAGATAACCAGGACCGAACCCTGGCTATTTAAAGCTAGTATTTTTTTTAAGTGCACAGGGCTCAGATTGCTAGTGATGTCTCCTCTGTGTCTCTTTCTGTCAGTAGCCAGTTATCCAAACGCGGCCGCATTTCGATGCTCTCTTATGAGCGTGAGGCACATGCACAAACACAGAGGGAAAAACAACGCGGGCCACTTCTGGTCTCCGTTGAAAGACATTTACATTGGTAAGAATGGTTTTATATCATAAATGCTAGGAATTTCCTGTGAGCGAGAGGGATCAGATAGAGGTACACAGGCGCAACTGGATACTCTGCTTGTAGGATTTGAGATACATGCTGAAAGTTAATGTGCAAGATGAATTACCCAGGACTAGGTGAGAATGACATACTCTTGTTATGATGAAAGAATTGGAGTACAAGGTTCCAAAACACTTTGTTTTTTCAAATGACATTTCATGAGCCCATCTGCCCCATACTGGGGACTGTGGCTACTTCTTAAAGAAAAGAATTAAAGCAGAGTCACTGAACTTTCAAATGACTCACTGGACTTTCAGTCACGTGTGTGTAAAAATATTACTAATTTGTAAACAACATCTAGTCTCTCACAATAGATCTAAAAAGAGATGGCCCTAGCCATGAGGCAGTACCACAAAGGGCACAATGTCAGGTCAGATTTGGCTGAGAAATCAAACTGATAGAAATTCTCGTTTTTTTTTTAAACTTGAACAGAAACTTTTTTTAATACAAATAAACATTGCCCATGCAGAGTCTGCAACACAAACACTGAAGCAGGCTTGTGCCAGAGGCCCTAAAAGGGAAATTGACATCAAAGTGAAAGTAGACAAAAATAAAGCTGACTAGTCTCTATTTATTGTCTAAGCTGAGAGAAATGCAAAAACAAAACAAATAGAATACATGGAACAGTTTCACAATCTAATTTACTTTTCTCTGTTATAATAATTGCAGGCCGTGATCTTGCAACTGGATTGATGTGGATGCAAAGTTTGACCCACATGTATCTGGTTGCTGAATCAGGACTGAAATTACCGCGGTGTGTTATCAACACCACCTGACATTTCAGAGTAATTGGATTTTTATTAAAAATGATTCATAGCCCAATAACATCACTTTAAAGGGACACTGTCAAACATGATCAATCACATTTCTGTGTGTGGAAAGTGGTGTATTTACTATAGGTACAAACAACACCTAAAATATTTCTTTCTGAAGAAAGATAAAAGGAAAATATCTCGGGTTTTTTACTATGCACATTTGACATAACTTTTGCATAGTCAATTTCGCTGATGTTTCTCTTGACTAGTCAGTGAGTTTTTCCTTTGTAAATATCAGGAAGCAGAAAATTTTTTATAAAAACTTAAAGAATTTTAAAAAATCCAGGGCATACTATTTAAAAAGGTACCTTTATCAAAAACTGGATTCTTTAAAAAAGTAATTGTTTTGAAACTAATCAAGTTAACACTGTCCTTTTTAAAGGCTAGTTGAACCTGCTAAGAGAACAGGTGGGAAACAGCATTGAATCTGAACTAACGTGGCGACCTGCTGGTCATCTGTCCTCAGTTAGAACTGAGACTGAGACAGAGAGAGAGACTGTGTTCTGTTAAGCTGGGACTCCCTGACCTGCCAAACACCCAGGAAAAATGAAACTAAGAATGACAGCAGTGATACCCCAGAGGGGACGATGAAATAAGCAGGACAGATTTCCTAGTGCTGACTGTATGCGTAGGCCGGCAACACGACTGCAGTCCCCATCTGCAGCACCACAAAAGAAAGCAACAGAACATACACACTTGTTTGACAACACTTTTTTTTTTTTTAAAGGATTTACTGATTTCTGGATTTCTCCTCCCCTGTAATTCATATTCAAGGGTGACCTGAGTGCCCATTAACAATCAAATTACTGTGTGGCAACCCAAGATCCTAGGCAATTATGAAGATAATAGTGCCGTCCTCTTCTGTCCTGCCACCCCTTAGGAAAGGGGGAAGGGGAGAGAGCAGATGAAAAAAAGAGAACCAGCAAATGGAATGAAAATTCCACTCGGCTTCCCTCAAAGCAACAGACAGCAGCAATTAGAGACTTCTCGGATTGAAATACTTGAAACGCAATGTAATTTCTTTAAGCAGATCTGTAACACGAGCAAACTTTAGTTTGTCTATTCTTATCCAAAGTCACCTACTTGGGAATATACATAATATACGGTAAGATTCCATCAGAGGCCCTTATGCAAGTTGTTCCAGACCATTCTCAGAGATGTGGGCCCTAATTCACTGGGCTTGGAATGCCAACTGTCTGTATTTTTGCAACGTTTAGATCTATCTTATGTACCTATCTGGCCCCCATTCCATAGGACAGTGGTGCCTCACAATCTTTAACTTATAATCCTTACTGCACTCTTGTGAGGCAGGGCTGTTATCCCCATTGTACAGATGAGGACACAGAGAGGCTAAGGGACTTGCCCAAGGTCCCACGAAGTTTGAGGCGGAGCAGAAATTTGAACCCAGGTCTCCCAAGTACTAGGTTAGTGACCTAACCATGTATCTAGATCTGTGGAGAAGCATTTTATGGAAGTCAGAATGAATAAAAATGAAGCCATGCTCTGATTGGCCTGTTGGGTTTTTTTGTGATGTAATCTGCATAATTAAATCCCCAATAGAACGGAGATACATCACTAATCTTCAGAGCATCCTGACAGGCTGAGGCCGTAACATACACTGATATCCGCCCCTCCCAGCATCAGCTCTTCTGTGACTGTGGACTTCAATGGGAGATGGATCAGACCCTAATTCATCTCAGGTACACAATGGATATCTGCCCATAACAATGACATATGTTTTGTCAGAAGCTGGGAATGGGCGACAGGGGATGGATCACTTGATGATTACCTGTTCTGTTCATTCCCTCTGGGGCACCTGGCATTGGTCACTGTTGGCAGACAGGATACTGGGCTAGATGGACCTTTGATCTGACCCAGTATGGCTATTCTTATGTTCACACTCCAGTACATTGGTTTGTATCCAGAAGTTAATGGACTTACTCTGGATTCGTACGGCTATAAATACAGGAACTGTTTCAGCCACCACAATAATGCAGCTGCCTCTGGGGTAGAACTTGACGGCTGTTTAACAGCTGCACCACAATACTGCATAGCAGTTTAATGGAAATAGTGAAAGAAGCAGACAATTACAAGTTCCCTCCCTGCCTCCTTGGCCATCACTCCCTCCTGCCACTCCTTCGGCAGCTGGATGATGGTTCATCTCCATGTTACTGATTCATCATTGCATCTAGGTGGTTATATTCTGGCGTAACTCCAGTTATTTACAGTAAGGCAGTGGTGAATCAGGCCGTGAACTGGATACTCAATTCAGCTCTCTTAGAAAAGTTAGACTTTAAGGTGCCTGGCCACTGCCTCTGATGCCTTCCTAAATGCAGCGGCCACCCACTGCCCAGCTCCCTTCTGCGCAGGGGGAACTGGAAAACAGCAAGGCGGAGCCCCATATATCAAAAGAATGGATACTGCAATGCTGGAGAATTCGCAGAAACCTCTGGCTTGACACTTGGAAGAGGTTCCATCAGATATTTCTTAAAGGCTTGGGTTTTTTTAAACCCCAGATGTAGCAATACGGAAAGCGACTGTGTCAAGACATTACAGTAACCATGCATTCGTATCCTCCGGAGTATATGCACCAGGATCACAAATGAAATCCACTGCAGCCCATTACATCATCTCACATAACCATGAATTTAGACAGACAGTCATTATAATTACTTACTTAGGAACTGGCACCCGAATTATTATCCCATCTACTTCCGGGTTCAGGTTCATTCCACTCTCCCTTATAGCCTTGATAGCTGCAGCTGTATTCTGTAAACCAGATCAAAAGGTAAAAGGAATTAGTAAATAATTATTACCAGATGCCAGAACTCTGTCGATAGCTGGCAATCCATCTCACCAGAACATGGAAACATTTAGTTCTGTTACCAGTACGATCAGGAAGTTACATTGGTGCAGAGTGCTTTGATCAAATGGAATTGCAAACTACGTCCATTCTTGGTACCAGGGTATTAGGGGGCGGGGAGGGGGAGAAAGCAACAACAAAAGAAAACAGTTTTGTTTCTTTGAAACTATTTGAATGGTTTGAGGCAATGCAGATCAAAACCACAATGAATCCCCAAAGGAGAGCCTGGACTGGGGAAAGGGGAGATGAAAGATTCCCTGCCTTTAAAAATTCCAGTTGAATGTTTTACACTAGAAATTGCATACTGCCAATTTAGAAAAGTTACTAATTTAACTCATGCAGCACTACAATCAAGTTGGGTTAAATCCAGACATTAGTTTGTGGCTGAGGAATGCAACCAGTGCTTTTACAACCAGGCTCAGTTGTATTTATTTAAGTGTCTCATAATTTATTATTTACTTATTATAACTCTTTCCCTGGTAGCTGCTGCGTTCCAGCATCATGTGGCAATGCCAACATTCCAGTACTGCTTTGAAGGCAAGGTACCTGTACACAGGACAGTGCTGGAAAGTCGCTTGGCCCAATACAACAGGTACGCTTGGTAAACAGCAAAGTGATCCAAACCTACTCAACAGCTTCCATGTCACATATTATTGGAGTAAAGACAAACAGGGTTAATATGTTACCTAAAGAAACTGGGCTGATGGGGATGAATCCAGTTGTCTTCAACGGTTCAACACCAGAGCTGAATTTGGCACACAGGGCTTAACAATCCATTTAGACCCTGATTCAGCAGAGTACTTAAGCATTTAAGTGTTATGGACTCACTGACCTGTTTGTGTTGTTTTATAGCATCTGTCTGATACACCTCTACCTCGATAGAACGCTGTCCTCGGGAGGCAAAAAAATGTTACCGCGTTATAGGTGAAACCGCGTTATATCGAACTTGCTTTGATCAGCCGGAGTGCGCAGCCCTGCCCCCCCAAAGCACTGCTTTACCGCGTTATATCAGAATTCGTGTAGAGGTGTACTAGTATTGTCTCGAATGCAAAATAAAGTCAAGTCAAAAGAGCACGAGAGAAAAACACTGAGAATGGACCCAAGCACTCAGGTGCTTGAAGCTAAGCATGTGCTTAAATGCTCTGCTGAATCAGGGCTTTAGACACTATATGTAATAGCCATCTCCCTTATTAAAATTCACCAGTAAGAGAACTTCTTGAGGGACCCACTATAATGTTAAAGGGAGCTGCCTGGCCTCATCAGAACACAGATCCCTTTCTACACAAGTTATTCTCAAATGCATACATCTTTTGCTTCATTTTATCTCTGTATGATCCATGAAAGACAAACCTGCCTCTTTAACAAAAATTATCCCTTTCAAATGCAAGGTTTGGTTACAATCCTCTCTATCTCATGAGATGTGGTGTAGCATCTTGGGAAGCAAATAATCAGTTCTTTTTTAGTACAGCATTTGGAGATCTGATGTTATAGAGGAAGGATGCAAAGAGTGTGTCTCATATTCAGAAACAGCAAGCATTAACTGTCCCATTTGAAAGCAACCCGATCAATCCCAAACTGGACTTTTGTTGGGTTCCATTGTTCAGCGATTTCCGATCATATAGTCAAACACTATGGTCTTGTTATAGCTAAAATTAGTCAAAACAATAGTAAAGAATAAAATTGTCAGACACATAGAAGAACATAAAATTGTTGGGCAAAAGTCAACGTGGTTTCTGTAAAGGGAAATCATGTCTTACTAATCTATTAGAGGTCAACAAACATGTGGACAAGGGGGATCCAGTGGACATAGTGTACTTAGATTTCCAGAAAGCCTTTGACAAGGTCCCTCACCAAAGGCTCTTAAGCAAAGTAAACTGTCATGGGATAAGAGGGAAGGTCCTCTTGTGGACTGGTAACTGGTTAAAAGATAGGCAACAAAGGGTAGCTATAAATGGTCAGTTTTCAGAATGGAGAGGGGTAACTAGTGGTGTTCCCCAAGAGTCAGTCCTAGGACCAATCCTATTCAACTTATTCATAAATGATCTGGAGAAAGGGGTAAAAAGTGAGGTGGCAAAGTTTGCAGATGATACTAAATTGCTCAAGATAGTTAAGACCAAAGCAGACTGTGAAGAACTTCAAAAAGATCTCACAAAACTAAGTGATTGGGCAACAAAATGGCAAATGAAATTTAATGTGGATGAATGTAAAGTAATGCACATTGGAAAAAATAACCCCAGCTATACATACAATATGATGGGGGCTAATTTAGCTACAACGAATCAGGAAAAAGATCTTGGAGTCATCGTGGATAGTTCTCTGAAGACGTCCATGCAGTGTGCACAGGCGGTCAAAAAAGCAAACAGGATGTTAGGAATCATTAAAAAGGGGATAGATAATAAGGAGAATATATTATTGCCCTTATATAAATCGATGGTACACCCACATCTTGAATACTGCGTACAGATGTGGTCGTCTCATCTCAAAAAAGATATACTGGTACTAGAAAAGGTTCAGAGAAGGGCAAATAAAATGATTAGGGATTTGGAACGGGTCCCATCTGAGGAGAGCTTAAAGAGGTTAGGACTTTTCAGCTTGAAAAAGAGGAGACTAAGGGGGGATATGATAGAGGTATATAAAATCATGAGTGATGTGGAGAAAGTAGATAAGGAAAAGTTATTTACTTATTCCCATAATACAAGAACTAGGGGTCACCAAATGAAATTAATAGGCAGCAGGTGTAAAACAAATAAAAGGAAGTTCTTCTTCACACAGCGCACAGTCAACTTGTGGAACTCCTTACCTGAGGAGGTTGTGAAGGCTAGGATTATAACAGCGTTTAAAAGAGACTTGGATAAATTCATGGAGGTTAAGTTCATTAATGGCTATTAGCCAGGATGAGTAAGGAATGGTGTCGCTAGCCTCTGTTTGTCAGAGGGTGGAGATGGATGGCAGGAGAGAGATCACTTGATCATTACCTGTTAGGTTCACTCCCTCTGGGGCACCTGGCATTGGCCACTGTCAGTAGACAGGATACTGGGCTGGATGGACCTTTGGTCTGACCCAGTACGGTTGTTCTTATGTAAAATGTCATTTTATGAGACACTTTGGTAGCAAACTTCCATCATGCCCTGTCAATTTATTTCATTCTTTAACATAGGCAATAACAGAAGAAAACTAGCCTTGATTTTTTTTCTAACAGTATTAAGTTTTCTTAAAATAGTGCTGCTGTTTCTGTTCCTCTTTTCCTATCATTAACTTTAGCTGCAGGCTACTACAATAGATTGTAGTTACAATGTGCACCATTTATCAATCAAGGCACTCCTTGAAACTGTGTTGTATTTGCATGCAAACGAACATCGTGTCAACTTGGTGTAAAAACACAATCGCTAGCATTTAAGCGGACTTAAAAGTTAAGAAATGCTAAAGACATTGAGAACAGAGAAAACCTCTAGCAGATTAGCTCAGCATTTTAAAGCCATAAACATGTGATGTTACAAACCAGTGTCTGGGCTATGGGAAGGAAATGTTCAGTTAAAGCAATATTGTTTAACATATACATTGGCTGAGACAGAGGAAGGGGAAAAATACAATATTACCCCCACCCTGTTCCAGCAAATGAACTATTCCTGTTAGAAAAACAAAAAACTCACAAAACATCTAACTGTTTTTTCTAAACCTTGCACATGACTAAGGCAAACGGGGTTTGGCCCAGGGGGTCCGTTTCCACCGTGCTTTTCTCTCACATGCTCTTTTGACATAATGTTTATTCTTTGTTTGATACAATGCAAGCACCAGACAGATGCTGTAAACAATACATCCAGGTCAATACGTGCATGAAGTTATCTTGGTATTACCCCATCCTCCTACATCCAAGCAGTAGCCCCAGGTTATTGCCATCAAACAGATTACATAACAACCTCAGCTGGAGAAGTGTATAGTCAAGAGTTAAGTGGTACCTGGTTTGGGGAATAACTAGATTTGGGGTGATGATACAGAGAACAATATTCCATTTCTAGGCATTTGGTTCAAAGCCATTCTCACTTCCTCACTGCAGCTGGGCTGAGTCCCACAATGACTTATTCAAACCTTCTCACCTGTAAACTTTAGGGGTTCAGCTCTAGTGGGACCTAGATCTGAACAGCTCACAGGATTGGGCCCATAATTCTTGAAAGTTATCATGCACTGGATACGTTTTAAGAAGCCCTGTGGCATCAAGTGCCCTATAACGACCTCCTTGGAGACTTTGCTGGCTTAATTAATTGGGAGAAGCCTTTGAAAAATAAAGATAGATAAATGTTGGCAATCATCCAGTTCTAGAGCTGGGGCAATGGCTGACCCTGTGCCCGCTAATACTAACAAGGATCTATAGAGGTCAATGAGACACTTTACAGTCACTTTTCTGAGCAAAAGCCCTCTCTGTGGGACTGATAATGGTGGAAATTAAATGCCCAACTTTGCTCCACTATGGGAGTGGCACAATCTATTCAGAAGTGGATATGCTACTTTTGCCACAAACTTTCAGAGGCTGACATTGACACAAGTGAAAGACAAATAATTTTCATAGGAGTTCCAGTCCTCTACCACCATGTAATAGTTTCATGATATAGACTAGTCTTCATCAGGAGCTGGGCTGGCATAAATAGCAGGATAAGATCTAGCATTCTTACTGTATGCATAATTCCTGAGTCAATGGGAGGTTTATATGTGTGCAAAGAGTGCTGTATGTGACACAGATACTGGAGAGGGAAAGACCTTTTAGGCCATGGCAAAGCAGAATTTTCCTCCATATTATATTATCTCTAGCTTTATTCAGGCCAGTTTTAAATGACTCAAGTGATAGAAGACTATTCCACAAGGCTAAAACTCTCTCAGGATTTTTTCCTCAATACTGTGCCAAATTCAATCTAAGCATCATGTAGCAATGGCAACATTCCAGGGCTGCTTCAAAGGTGAGGTACCCAAAACACAGGACAGCACAGGAAAGTCAACACATACACTCAGTAGTGAAACATTTAGTTCTGTTACTGTCAGATCAGGAAGTGACGCTGATGCAGAATGAAGTCAATAAGAATTGTGCTAATTCTACTGGAGTGGAATTTGCCCCATTCAGTCTAAATTTTCCTTTGCTCAGTTTCATCCTATTATTCCTACAGTAATTATACTCCTTTGGGTTTTGAAAGGAGATAAAAAGCTTATGCCTCTGAGCTGCTCAGTCCCCTTTTCCTTCCATTTGGATCTTCATATCCCTTCAATCGTGTCCACGTACCTCTGGAAAACTAGCCATATTTACTAGAATGAGCTGAGGAGATTTCAGCGAGATTTGTCCAAGCTGGTTTAATGGAAACTTTCCATCTTTTGTTGTCACAGTTATATGATCAAGAGCGCCTTAAAAATAAACCAAAATAACAATAGCATGTCAATATTACACAGCACTTTTATGTTTAAAAAAACTGAACAGCATTGCAATTACAATATGCATTCATACTCCTACTTCTTCATATTATGCATACAGACATTAGAAGAAAAGACAATATATTTTTAAAATAGGTCTGTTCTTCCCTGGCAGAACAAGCAGTCCTATTCGTATTTATACATCCTTGCAAGCCAAACTTCATAGGATTATGCTAGTGCATGAAAACCAGAAAGTGAAACTCACTAGTTCATTTTTCATTGCCAGAATGAAAAAGGTAAACAACGAACATAAATAGTAAAGTGGAAATTATGTATTTAAAATTCTTGCAATATAAATGATCTAAGTTCTTATAACACAAGTAAAGGAGATTTATATGATTTTTAAGCTGGTGGTGTTCCTCTATGCCCCCAGATTCTTTACTAAATCCCCACAGGAGGTGCAGTTCACTGTCTAATTTAAAGTATTTTATTTCACTCTAAGATCCCCTTAATCTGCTTTGTAGTTTCTGCTGCAAAATGTTAACAGGCCAGAAAGCACAAGGGAGATGGGGCACTTTATCAGTATGATTTAAAAAAAAAAATAACTGAGGTTAAAATAAATAGTTAAGCAATTGAGCTGCACATTCTAACTCCATTAGAGACTGAGTTAGGGGTGGTGAATGATCCGTATTTGGCCATTGTTTAATGTTAAATTTTCTCCCTGAAACTGGATACGCATTACAAATGTGTGTATTCAGTGTGCTAGAGTAACTGTAGCTTGGTCAAATATATTCACGTTTCTTTATGAACACAAAATTCACTAAGTGAATAGGGTTTGTAAAGGTCACTAACCACAAATATGCATTGCAGAAGAAGTCTGTATATGCCAGACACCAGCCTGACGGCAATTTCCAAAAGGCTAATTTAATGGCAATTGGATTTTTCCTGCCCTACTGCACCATTAGCTGACAACTTGCTTCTTCATCACATCTGCAAACAGTTCAGTTAGACATTTTTGACATCACCCACTTACAAAAGCCATTTTCAGGAAGTTATTAACAAAAATGGATTCTTCCTGGTCAAGCTCAGGGTGAAGAAAGTCTTTAGTTGGGGATCTCAAGGTTGCAGTAATTGGGTGCCCAGTGAGTAACTCAATAAAAAGAAAATCAATTTGCAGAAAATGAAAGACGCAGATCTGGGCTGGAAAGGCTCAGCGGATTTATTTATAGACAGTAAAGAATTATACAAGCAAGTTACTGACCTGGTGAGGTTCTTATATTGAGATTTTTCCCAAATTCTTCCTTAAGGACTTCCACCACTGCCTGCATTTCACCATTTACCTCCCCTAGACTGATAATATCTTCAACTAAGGCAGCATTGATATTCACTCTGGCTTGGGTCTCTCCTTTACCTTTAGCTGAAAATTTAACACACAATTAATTTCTATACCACTGAGGCCTGGTCTACACTACGGGATTAATTCGGATTTAGCAGCGTTAATTCGAATTAACCCTTCACCCGTCCACACAACAGAGCCATTTAGTTCGAATTAAAGGGCGCTTTAAATCGATTTCTGTACTCCACCTCGACGAGCGGAGTAGCGCCAAAATCGATTTTGTTAATTCGAATTAGGGTTAGTGTGGCCGCACACAACCGAATTAATGTGATTAAAATAAATGGGGTAGTGTGGCCGCACACCACCGAATTAATGTGGTTAAAAACCGAATTAATGTGCTTAGTGTGGCCGCGCACAATCGAATTTATACAACCTGTTTCCCAAATTCGAATTATCTAAATTCGGATTAATCCCGTAGTGTAGACATACCCTGACAATACCATGGTCTTTTACTGAGTAATCACATTAGAAAACAAAAAGGTGCTTTTGCAACTATTTCAGATTAGTAACTGGAATTTAGCATAAATTGAAATATATTTTTAAGATGGTAAATGATGAGCCTGTGATCCAAAATGTATTTGCACATCATGCTCTGTGTGTTTTGTAACACTAATTCCAATGTGGAACATGAAGATTGCTAATTAATGACCTGATCCTGCAAAGATCTCTACAGGTGTGGACTCTTGTGGGATTCCTTTCAGGATCAGGGATTAATGGCCTTACTCGTGCAAATAGTCCGCGCAAGGACTAAAAATATTAGAGAGTTTTGAAGAAAATAAAATGTTCTGGTTACCAAAATAAAGGTACTTCCCAGAGAAAAAGAGATGGAAGGGGATACATAATTAGAAGTGGCAAATTCTAGTAAAAAGGCTTCTTTCTTTACCTTTGGCTTTCTTGGTAGCTAGATGTCTGGTCAGCATTGTCTGGTGGACCACACACTGCCTGCAGCCATTCAGCATCAGAGCTGTATGCCTCAAAGGTACTTGCAGGGGTGGCCTTACTAGTCCTGAGAGAGAATGATGAAGCAGGGGAGGTAGCTGACGGAGACACCTTAATGCCATGGCCATGGCATACATCTACTCTTTCATTCGCCTGGCAAAGAGAAAAATAGGAGATACAAGAACAATCCTCCACAATCATCGTGTAACAATGGTTTCAAGTTTAGTATCAAACTGTCAGTCCATGATAATGATCAGAGGACAACAGGACTGCTTCTGGTCCTAATGAATCAAGTCAGTTTTGCTGCTGATTTCAATGGCAGGATGACTGGATCCAGTATACTCGTATAGCATTAATATCGACATCTGCCAAGGAGGTGTGGAGGCTGCGTTAAGAAGGAAACTCTAAACACAGGTATGAAACCACATTTTTGACAAGATGCTCTATTTATATGTCAGTTGAATACAAATTTAAACACAAAATTCGGTGGCACAAAATTTGAGACTCTAGAATCCCTCGGTCTCCTTCCTGTTTTTAAAATAATGACTATTTATTATTTGTATGGAAGTAGCACTTAGGCCAGGACCCTATTGTGCTAGGCACCGTATAAACAGAACAAGACCCTGCCCCAAAGAGTTTGCAATCTAAATATAAGATGAGACAACAGGTGGATATAGACAGATGATGGAGCAAAGAAACAATATTGTTCAACATGACGGGCAGTGGTATCTTATTCACCCCTATTGCTATACACAGGAATCATTTCACCCACCACTGAAATGCAGCCACCTCTGAGATGCTCAGATACTCAGGTGATGTAGGCCTTATACGTTGCCTCCTTAGCCTTTTAAAAATCCTTAATTAAACCCTACCTCTGCTGTAAAGTGTACAAATCTGACCATCTGGCACTGCTTAGACAAATGGCAAGCATTAAACTGCTTTTGTTACCTCATTCTCCCACTCACCCACACCCCTTATATTAGGCAGGTTTAAAACAAACAAAAGGAAGTACTTCTTCACATAACACACAGCCAACTTGTGGAACTCATTGCCAGGGGATGTTGTAAAGGCCAAATGTATAACTGGGTTTAAAAAACAATTAGATAAATCATGGAGGGTAGGTCCATCAATGGCTATTAGCCACGCTGGTCAGGGATGCAAATCCACGCTCAGGGCAACACTAAACCTCTGACTGCCAGGAACTGGGAGTGGATCACTCTATAATTGCCCTGTTCTGTACACTCTCCCTGAAACTCTAGCACTGGCCACTGTCAGAGACAGGATACTGGGCTACATGGACCATTGGTCTGACCCACTATGGCTGTTTTTATGTTTCTTTTGTCTGTTTTGTCCAACTTCTGCATCCTCTGTGACATTTGGATTCTAAGTTCTCTGGGAGCGGGACTGTTTTCTCTGTTACTTGTTGTCTTGTCTTTACAGCACACAATACAACAGGGACCGTTTGTCCGAGCGCCCACAAAACAAGTGAATAATAATAATACACTACTGCCAACCCCACGCATTTGAATACTATGAGATTGTCTTAAAAATATGATTTTTTTATAAATAATAAATGTGGGGTTCCTTTTATTTGCCACCTTGCTTTTGAACCTCTAGGGTACAGATAAGTCAAATTTTCAAGCATTTTTCAGCAACCAGGAGGGCCATGAACCTCTTTAAAAAAAATTAAATGACAGTTGGGATTCTCCTGTATTCACACGAATCCAGGAGCTGAGACTTATGTAAAAATAACACCTATTGCAAGACCGAACAATTGTGAGAACTGGCAACACTGAGGACGGAAAGACAGAGTAGGATGTGGTGGCAGGTTAGTAACCACACAGCAATGCTGCCCTGCGGTTTAGGACAGGAAGTGAGGAATACCACACCCAGCTAAAAACAGCAATAGGAAATTAGGGAGGCAGAAGATAGTTTCCTGTTTTGGGCTCTGGGGAGGAGTTCACACGGTGATATCAATGCCTTGGGATCTTTACCAGCCACAGGCTCCCAGGGGCTGGGTTTTACAGATCACCCTAGGCACCTCAAGCACAACAGACTCCCCCACCTCCATGACCCTTACACACCCCTTACAAGCCCTATGTCAGAAACCTAGGCCAAGACCCTCCCCTGCCCACCACTTAACCATGCCCCGCCCCCTGCTGCCCAAGCCCCGCCCCTTGCCCCGCCCCCTGCTACTGGAGCTCTGCCCCGTGGTCCATAGCCCCACCCACTACCAGCCCTGCCCCATGATGCAAGCCCCGCCCCTTATCCCTAGCCCCACCCCCTACTCCGGAGCTCTGCCCCACAGCTCCACCCACTGCTCCCGAGCCCCGCCCCCAGGTGCCCTGCGCTCACGAGGCCAACACAGTCCCTCCCCCAGTCCGGACCTGAAGCCCCGCCCACTGCTCTGGTTGCCGTTGCTCGCTCTCCCGGTGCCCGTAGTTGGGCCCCGCGCTCGCACTCGCCGCTCAGCCCCGCGAAGGGGCGCACCGCACCACACGCTGCGCCAACGTCACCCACCTGCGACACGTCCTTGCGTCAGACGTTTGCGTGGCGTGTCACCACACTAGGGGAGGGGGCGGGGCCTAAGTGAGTGGAGGCCCCGCCACTGGCTGCGCCGGTCCGGAGTGCCGGACCCATGGTGAGTGCGGCCTGCGGCCTGGCCCGGCCCGGCCCGGCCTATCCCCCCCGCCCTGTGACCCCGGCCCGGCCTGCCCGTGTCACCCCCGGCCTAACCATAGCAACAGCCCCCGGCCTCGCCCCGCCTGCGCCCTGCTGCCCCCCCCAGCCTCATGCCCCCCCGGCCTCCTGACCCTCCCGTAAACCCTTCTGCGACCCCAGCCTTTCTCTGTACCCCCCCCCCCCCCCCCCCCCCCCCCCCCCCCCCCCCCCCCCCCC